CTGAGGTGGGGAACCTCCCTCTAGAATTGAACAGAGTGATCTGGAGGTGCACCATAGTTGTGTGTGTGTGTGTGTGTGTGTGTGTAAGGGGAGGGGGGGCCTTAATGACTCCAGGCATCTCTCATCAGGGCCAGAATCTATGACCTCTGGCCTCTGGCCAATGCATGCTTGGAGGGATCGTAGGACAAACCGCGGGCGAATTACCACACACTTCCCTCTCCACCCAGCAGCTGCTCCCCCTCCATCTTCATCCTCAAGGGCGCCAGCGTCTAACAAGGCCCAGTGCGGCGTGGAGTCATTATCAGTAACGAACACACCGGGGGATGAGTTGGAGACAAGAGCACAGGGCGACCCAGGTGGGGACCACGTGTCTCTGTGCCGCGTGTCCCTGTGTTAGATAGCTCAACGGGACTCGTGAATAAATGGAGACTGAGTCTAGCTCCTCTTTATTGGGCCTGATGTGACTGCAGTTGGGCAGACGATCCCATAATGCCCAGCTCTCCCGATATTAGGGGCTGTGTATTACATACGGGACTATTCTCCTGCAAAAAACAAGCATCTCATTTTAGAAACCCAGCTGTGTCGTGGAAGACTCCCAGAACTCAGTTGATTTAGCGGGACACGGGGAAGGTGAAGAAGTGACTTACGCCCAGGCCACAAGTAGCTACCTAAGGGATACATATTTAACAACGGGCCCTTCGGTCTAGCAGAGGAAGGTCGCACCCAGCGTTGGGCAACCTAGGCTACTGAGTGGGCAACATGAGTGGCCCTTTATCTCTGTGGGCTGCAAGATTGTCGCAACCAAGCCAGTTTCCCGGGACAGGGTAGATTTCCTCAACTTGCTCGAATCCCTAGACTTTGCGGGCGGTGCCGATTGAACCGTGGCGGCGCTGCGGTTGGCTGCCGAGGGAGCGCACGGCTCTAAGAGTCAGTGTCGTGTGCGATCAGCACCCACCTGCCTTCACGTGCCCAGGCTTTGAGTGCGGGTCACTTTAGTAATACTGGTAGGAAAAAAAACCTACGTTGAGCGATACCAGCGGAATCTGGCAGCCCGGCAAACAGGGAACAGTAAACACCATGTCTCACTGGCCACTCATAGAGCCCTGATGGGCCACGTGCAGCCTGCAGGCCACAGGGTGCCCAAGTTCAGGCTGGAACTAAGACGGACATTTTCAGCATGAACCACGGGGACAACTGCCCCAGGGTTGTGGTGCGTTTTCCATCCCTGACAATTTTTCACTCAAGCTGGGCTGCAGCTCCAGGGGATCCGCCCCTCAGGGCCGTTCTCTGCCCGTGTGGCATGGGGGGGTCCCACGAAAATCGATGAATCATCTCGAAACTCTCCCCAAGGCGAGAGCAGGACGAGCTGCCAGCCGACGGCTCAGCTCTCCCAGCCCCATGGACCAAGGGGGTTCGTGTGAAACTTGGCTCTGGTCAAACAAGGCTGAATCCTGAGTTGCCCTAGGGGCTCTGGTCAAACAGGACTGAATCCTGGGCTGTCCCAGGGCCTGGGCCGTGCGGGAGAGTGGAGCGGGGGGAGGGTGGTGGACGGTACAATCCCAACGGGCCTTCCTGGCCTTGGCATTCATGGAGCCGTGTTGAGAGTAGGCGGCACCGTCCCTACAGCTACCTCCCTCCATGGCCACATGCAGACTTGTCGGGTAGCAGCCATTTGCCCTCATTCCCCCGCCATATAGGGCTGTGAGTGGGCCCCTCCCCCACCATATAGGGCCGTG